CAAGGCCCCCGTGTCCGCCGCCGATGAAAGAAGCGTCGAGGCCCCCCCCCCGCTTTAATCACCGGCGTGCCCGTTTATAGGGCCAGTCGAGGATGCCTCTAGATGGGTGGGTACATGATAAAATCACAACACGCGTGTGAGAAGAAGGAGCGGCTAAAGGACCCTTCCTCGCCTCCTCGTCTTGCCCTTATTCTTCCTTCTCCTCCACCCCTTCTCCGCCCCTTTCTTCTTTCTGCGCCTCGCTCCCCCTTTTCCCTTCACTTTTTCATCTTTCCCTTCTCCTGTTCCTTGTCCCCCTCTTCCCCCTTTTTGCCTCTCCTCTTCCTTTTTCGCCTTCGCCTTCGCCTCCGCCTGCTCATCCGGTTTCCCTCTCTTCATCACCATTCCAGCTCGGCAACACTTGTGTGGCAGCTGGTGGTGTTTTTAGCGTGCATGAAGGGACACTTCTGCTCATCTCCCGATGTTGTTCCCTGCCCTTTCCGCCTTCTCCCCCTCCTCCATCCCCGATCCTCCTCCTCGTCCTCCTCCCTTCTTCTTCCTCGTCGTCCTCCCCCCTGCCCAAACACACCGCGTCCGACCCTGCTTTGGTCACCGTGCTCCAGTCCAAGGTTGACGCCGATGGTGCATTGCTCTCCTGCTGCGAGCCCGTGCAGTGCGACGCCGTCCACGTTGCTTCCTCGTTGGCGAGCTGCTGGTCTTCGCCACGGTCATCATCACGTCGGGGTAACCTATGTTGTACTTTCAGTGTTGCGCAATCTGTAAAGCAATGCTGCTACGCCAGTGTATGCGGTAAACTCAATGTGATGTAGGTCGCCCTGCCGAAGTTGAAGTTGTCAATTCCACTGCTCGTGCAATCGTTCCACCCATGCGTAGCTTGGTTCGCAACATCCATGTGGATGCGATTGCGAGGATTGCTTTGCGGTGGATGGCGCGTCGCTGCGGCCATGCTGGCGCACGCAGGCTATCGCGCAACGCGGCCAGCTAGCCTGGCGCGGCCGATGGGGCTGCGGTGGCGCTGACTGTTGGGAACATCCCAGCACGCATCGCAGGCTGCGCCGACGCGCGGGAATCTCAATGCGAGTTTGTGATTCGCGCGGGTAGCATGGTGACGTCAACAACGGCAGGCGCGATGATGGTAGTAACGATGTTGGAAACGAGGGTGGCGACGATGACGGCAAAGACAATGACTGCGCCGACGTTCGTCACGGCAATGTCGATGATAATGCCCGCGTGTCGGTGATGCAGGTTTTTGATGGATTTCGACGTGCGCGCGCGGTCGACGGGCGCGAGTGGCCCGCGTGGTATTACTTGACAGGGATCGTGCCGCCCCAACACGCGCACGAGGGCGTTCGAATGATTTCGACATGCGCGTACGAGAGGCCTTATGTTTTTCAAGAATTCGCAAAAACGCGCTCTTTTTGTGCAGAACATGTTCTAGACTTGTTTTTGGTTGCCCTGGTTTGTTGCAAAACGTTATTGGAATTCAATGATTTGTGATCGATGCGCGCATGATCCTGTTTCATAGGGATGGCGGGGCCAGTCGATACTGGTTCGGTTGGGATGATTTGATTTTAAATGGAATCTGAACGGGGGGGGTATACGTATCCGTGAAGTGCAATACGACAAGTCGAGCGGGTAATCCCCGATCGGGGAGATGTGGGGGCACCATTCGGTTTCGATTCAGGAAGCTAATGCATGTTGCGCAGTCGATGGTGTGCAGTGTCTGGTGTACGACTTATGGAATACAAATATTGTATTGCGGAAAAAAGCGTGCGAGCTAGGTTGCGCAATCTGCGTGAAGTAATATAGGATAACCAATGCATTTGGTGCAAACTATGTTGTGCAATGTATGTTGTATAATTTATGGTGTGCGACCCGTGTGGGGCAATCTACGTGGTGCACCCCATGTGGTGCAATCTATGTGCTACAATGTACGTGGTGTAAGATATGCTGTGCAATATGTATTTGTGCAAGTTATGTCGTGCAGCTGGTTGCGTACAATCTTTGTGGTGCAATCCATGCTATGTGGAACCCATGCCATGCTACCTATGTTGTGCAATCTATGTACTACGATCGGCGTAGTGGAATATATGAGGTTCCCCTGCTTGTGCAGTCTATGTTGAACAGCATATGTGATGCAGTCTACGTTGTGCAGCCTATGCGGTGCAATCTGTGCGGTTCAGTCGACGTGGTGCTATTTATGTGTTGCAATGTATGCGGTGCAACTTGTGTGGTGCAGTTCATGTTGTGCAATCTAGGCGGCGACGAAGCGGCGACGGGGCGGAAACGGCAACCAAGTAGCCGCCACACCGAGTGAGGCTCAGTTCCTAAGCAGAGATGTGCCCTTAAGTGCGAGCACTCTTTGTTGAACGCACACACACACATATATATATATATGTGTATATACATATATATGTATATATATATATATGTACACGCATCTAGTCATAGGCCCCGTCCGTCTGACGCAGCGGAATGTCCTCACACGAAACATCGAAACATGGAAGCATTTGTACGAGAGGGCGATGCCGTGTCGATGAAAGCGATGGGTGAGGTCAGCCTATCTGTTGGCAGGGGCAGGCTAGCCGGAAGGCCGACGCCAACCCAAACAGAAATGGCCTTGTCATGTTGTACCAATTCGGAGCCCGATGCGACTCCTATTCCCGCTCCTGCGGACAACGAACGAGTACGAGGAGGAAGCGGAGGAGAGAGAACAGGAAGAGGACAAGGAGGGCGAGGAGAAAGAGGAGAAGAAGGATGATGATGATGATGATGATGATGATGATGAGGATGAAGATGAGGATGATAATGATGATGAGGACAATGATGATGGATGATGATGACGATTGTGCTTATGATGATGCTGATGATGATTATGAGGATGACGATCATGATGGTCATGATGATGATGATGACGATGGTGAGGATGATGATGCTAATGCTAATGCTGATGATGATGCTGAGGATGATGATGATGATGACGATGCTGCTGATGCTGCTGCTGATGATGATGGTGATGCTGATTCTGATGATGATGACGATTGTGCTGATGATGATGCTGAGGATGATGATATTCATTATGATTACGATGATGGTGATGATTCGGATAATGAGTATGAGGATGTGGATGAGGATGAGGATACGGATGTTGATGATGATGCTGATGATGCTGCCGATGATGATTATGCTGACGCTGATGATGATGATCATGCTGATGATGGTGTTGTTGACGATAGTGTTGATGATGATGCTACTCATGATGTTGGTGATGATGAGGATGCTAGTTCTGATGATAATGAGGCTGATGATGATAATGATGCCGATGATGATGCTGATGATGCTGATGATGATGCTGATGATGCTGTTGATGATGATGATGCTGCTGATGCTGATGATGATATAATGGTGCTTGTACTCATGATGCTGCTGATGATAATGATCGTGATGCTGATTATGATGCTGATGATGATGTTGATGAGGATGATGCTGCTGCTGATGATGATGCTGACGATGATGATGATGCTGATTCGATGAACATGATGTTTCTGATGCTGATGATGATGATTCGATGAGCATGATGTTGCTGATGCTGATGATGATGCTGATGATGCTGTTGCTGATGATGACGATGAATCTGGTGATGATGGTAATAATGATGAGGATGATGCTGCTGATGATGATGCTGCTGATGATGATGAGGATGATGTTGCTGATGATGCTGATGATGCTGATGAGGATGATGATGATGATGATGACGATGCTGATGATGCTGCTGATGATGATGATGATGATTATGCTGATGATGATGATGACGATGATGAGGCTGATGATACTGAGATGATAATGCTGATGATGACGATGACGAGGACGATGATGATGATGCTTAGGATGATGATGATGATGATGATGATGATGATGATGACGATGATGATGATGAGGCTGAAGATGGTGCTGATGATGATGCCGATGATGGTGATGCTGATGCTGCTGATGATGATGATGATGATGATGATGATGTTGAGGAGGAGGAGGAGGAGGAGAGTTAAGAGAAGGAGGGAGATGAGGAGGAGGAGGAATAATACTAACAAGAAGAAACGTAATAATATGAAGAGGAAGAAGGATAGCAATACTAATAGTAGTTGGGCAACTGGAAATAGTATCAATAAGAATAATGATCATACTAAGAAAACGCATTACTATAAAAAGTACTAACAACACCAGCGAAACTAATCATCATTCTAATGGTCTTAATAAGTGGAAAAGGAATATCACTAATTACACACCGATGATTACTATCAACAGTAATACCAATAGTACTGATAGTAGTCATATGTGCTAATAGTAATATGCTCATTCGTAGTAGTAGTAGTAGTAGTAGTAGTAGTAGTAGTAGTAGTAGTAGTAGTAGTAGTAGTAGTAATAGAAGAAGTAGTAGTAGTAGTAGTAGTAGTAGTAGTAGTAGTAGTAGTAGTAGTAGTAGTAGTAGTTGTTCATTATGAGTGATGGAAATGACCCCAATACTAACAATAGTCATTACAATATTATTCATTTCAACGACATGTTGGTACACCAAATATCCTTAACGAATATACCTATCATTAATCATAATATTAATAATACTAATAACCATCATACGAGAAGCCCTATTAGTAAAATCAATAAGGAGGATCAAACTAATGATACTACGGAAAAAAAGGAGGATCAGGAGGAGGAGGCGGAGGAGGAGGAAGAGGAGGAGGAGGAGGAGGAGGAGGAGGAGGAGGAGAGAAGAAGCAGGAGGAGGCGGCGGAGCAGTGTGCGGAGGAGGAGGCGGAGGAGGAGGAGGATGAGGAGGAGGAGGAGGCGGAGGCGGAGGCGGAGGAGGAGGAGCAGGCGGAGGAAGAGGGGGAAGAGGAGGACTAGGAAGAGGAGGACCAGTATAGACCAAGACGCATCAATGATGCTGTGGGTGGACGGAGGTAGCGAAGGAAGATGCTCCTTCTGCCCGCCACGCCCTCAAGGATTTCCACTTGGAGCACATGCTCCACGACAGGTCCTTTGGAGCCAGCGGCGGCGCCGTGGTGCACACCTTCTCGGGCGCGTCGGCCGTGGTCCTCCGCGCTGTCCTCCACCAGCCCCGCGAGGAGAAGGGGGATAATCCCGGGAGGAGGCGGAGGAACCTCACGCGCGTCCCGGCGGCGACCCCGAGCCCACCCCGGACCCACCCAGGCGAACGGCCCGAGGGGGAGGAGGAGGAGGAGGAGGAGGAGGAGGAGGAGGAGGAGGAGGAGGAGGAGGAGGAGGAGGAGGAGGAGGAGGCGGAAGAGGAGGAGGAGGAGGACCAGTGTAAACCCAAGAGTCATCGACGATGTTGGAATAAACCCTCCCTCCAGGCTCCCTTCTCACAGGCCCCTACAAGGTTTCATGTTCACTGAGGGGATTGCCTCGTTGGAAGACAACCGTTTGAAGACCCTGATGTATGCCAAAGCATCGCCCTCGGGATGCCAACGTCACGGATCAACCTGACTGTTGCGTCTTGGCGATCCTAAGTCGTACCAGAACGCCATTCCGGGGAATTCAACACCGCGACATAATCTTGAATCTTTCCAAAACACAATTTCTGGTACGCTGATCATGGGAATCTGTGAAGCTCTTGCAAATGTAGAAAGCGAATGTGCGCGGCGCTAAGGCGACAGCCACATTTTGAAAAGGAACTGCCCTCAATCAGTGAAGTCTTCAATTTTTTTGAAACGAATGTGCGCGGCGCTTAGGCGAGAGCCGCATTTGGAAACCGACCCGCCCTCCATCTGTGAAGCTGTCGTCAATGTTTAACGCTTCAGGGTCACAAGTGGTGAGGAAGTCTTAGGCGAAACTCCCGGACCGCCCTAACAACTGGCCTCGGGGTGCGACAGGCAGAGATTATTTATCAGGAAAGGAATGGAGGAGGAGGAGGAGGACGAGGAGGAGGAGGAGGAGGAGGAGGAAGAGGAAGTTGAGGATGACGATGATGATGAGGAAGAGGAGGAATAGGAAGAGGAGGTGGATGAGGATGAGGATGGGGATGGGGATAAGGATGAGGATGAGGATGAGGATAATGATGATGTGATTATGATGATGATGATGATGATGATGATGATGATGATGATGATGATGATGATGAGAATGAGGAGGTGGAGGAGGAAGAGGAGAAGGAAGAGGAGGAGGATGAGGAGGAGGATGCCGAGGAGGAGGAGGAGGAGGAATAGAAGGAGGATGATGAGGAGGACGAGGAGGACCAGGATGCGGAGGATGCGGAGGAGGAGGAGCACGTTGAGGAGTACGATGAGGATGATGCTGATGATGCTGCTGATGATGATTATTATTATGATTATGATGATGCTGGTGGTGGTGGTGGTGGTGACGATGCTGATGATGATGATGATGACGATGACGATTATGATGATGATGCTGATACTGATGATGATGATGATGATGATGATGATGATGATGATGCTGAACATGATGATGATGTTGCTGATGAAGATGATGATGTTGATGATGCTGATGATGGTAATGATCATGCTGATGACGATAATTCTGATTATGATGATTCTGATGATGCCGATGACGATGATGATGAGGATGCTGCTGCTGATGCTGATGATGATGCTGATGAAGATGCATATGAAGATGCTGATGTTGATGCTGATGATGATGCTGATGATGATGCTGCCGATGCTGCTGCTGATGATGAGGCTGAGTCTGATGATGATGATGATGAGGATGCTGATGCTGATGAGGATGATGATGCTGCTGCTGCTGATGATGATGATGATGATGACGACGACGACGACGACGATGATGATGATGATGATGATGATGCTGATGATGACGATTATGATGATGACGATTATGATGGTGATGATGATGCTGCTGCTGATGATGATGATGATGATGATGCTGATGATGATGCTGATGATGCTGATGATGCTGATGATGACGACGATGATGATGCTGCTGCTGATGATGATGATGATGATGCTGATGATGATGCTGAGGAGGAGGAGGATGAGGACGATGCTGATGATGATGATGATGATGATGCGGAGGAGGAGGAGGAGGAGGAGGAGGAGAGAGGAGGAGGAGGAGGAGGAGGAGGAGGAGGTGGAGAGGAGGAGGAGGAGGAGGAGGAGGAGAGGAGGAGGAGGAGGAGAGGTGTGGAGCAGGAGGAACAGGAACAGGAACAGGAGGAGGAGGAGGGAGGAGGAGGAGGAGGACTGGACGTGGAGGATGGAGGGAGGAGGGGGGGGGAAGGAAAGGGACGGGGAAATCGATACAATATAATATAATATAGAGAGAGAGAGAGAGAGAGAGAGAGAGAGAGAGAGAGGAGAGAGAGAGAGAGAAGAGAGAGAGAGAGAGAGAGAGAGAGAGAGCGAGAGAGAGAGAGAGAGAGAGAGAGAGAGAGAGAGAGAGAGAGAGAGAGAGAGATAGGGAGAGACCGGACAAGTAGGCGGACCAGGGTCCGTCCGCGAGGCGCACTGCGGTGCGACAACCCGCAAAACACTATTAGCGGCGGTGCAGCCTTAAGATACGAGAGCGGGCAACAGACCCCCTCCCCCGGCGCATTGCGTCTGAAGCTACGGACGGCGGACAGACTGTGAAGATCTCACGTGTCAGACCGCGTGACGAAGAAGGCCCCAACAAGAAAGGCGACGTGCGGACACGTGGCTAGGCGGCTTGGCAGACCGCCAGTTGGGCGCTTGGCCGCAGCGCGGCGCGCAGGGACGGGGCACCCCCCGCCCCCACGCCCTGACACCGTGGACGCGGGGCCACGCGTGCACACGGGCAGGCAGAATGGCGGAGATTAGCGCGGGGCTCCAGGCGGAGCGCCGCGGAGCGATGACAGCATAGCATGGAGGGTGAGTGGCGGCGCAGCACCATCGGGCGGGGGTGTAAGCAGCTCGGCGAAGGCACGACCGGCGCGGTGGAGGCGCTGGAGCAAAGGGCCTTGACGGGCTTGGGCAGCGGCAAGGTCGGCGGCGAGAGCTGCGCACCTCTGCTGGAGAGCGGCCGTAGACTGGGACAGCTCGGCTTCGCGGTCGGTGCGGGGCGGCTGCTCTGTGCCCGCGGCCGCGGGCCTCGCGGCGGGGACGAGGTCATCGGTGCGCCTGGCCAGGTGGTGGACCAGCGCGGTGCGGCGGTCCGTGCGCTGGCGGCCGTCGCCGTGGCGAGGCGACTGGAGGGTGTCGCGCGGTCCCAGGGCTGAAGCCGCTGGGGCCACGCCCCATGAGGACGGAGGAGCCGCAGCCTCGCAGCCTGCAACAGTAGGAGCGTGGACGGGGCGCGACGGCCTGACTGGCTCAGTGCCCTGCGGGGGGGCTGAAGCCGCCCCCGCGGGCTGGCGCTGGTGGGGGGACGGGGTTGGTGGCACGGAGGGACCAATCATGATGCCGTGCGAGGGCTCAGAGGTCGGCCGCGTGACCGGGTGGCGACTCGATGAAGCGGCATCGTCGGCAGCGTGGGGTGTCGGCGGGACGTCGTCTATGCTGCCACCCAATCCGAGGGGATCATAAAAGTCCTCGTCGGCGTCTTGGAGGTGAGCGACGTCATCATGTGGGTGCGGTGCCGCTCTCGGTGGCGGAGTCGAGGTGGGCGTCGTGCGGATGCCCGACGGGGCAAGGTTGGCGCTGGCTGGCCCGTCGTCCAGGAAGTCTAGTCCCCCGCCGAAGCCGAACGGGTCGTCCTCCTGTTCGTCGTACATCGCCCGTTGGGCCTCGGCCCAGAGCTCGTCCGGGTTCTGCGGGATGTCTGGTCCAGCCGCGGGTGGTGCCTGGTCCGACAGCAGGGGGTTCGGTTCCATTTTGCTGAGTTCAGCCGCTGTAAACCCAGCCCTGCGGTGTGGGAGCGGCAGAGTACGGTGTCTGCGCTCGTAGATGGCGACAGCGACCCCGTGAAGCACGGTCGCTTGGCGATGTCGTGTTTTGGCAGCTTCAACGATGTCGTCGGGGAGGTTGTGCGTGCGTGCCGCCGCTGTGGCAAGGGCGTCGGCCTGACGGTTGAACTCCTCCGCGATGGGCCCGATGAGCCCAAGGTCGATGCCCAGGTCTCCCAGGTGGCTGGCGACTTTTTCGACGCGAAACATGTCGGGCTTGGCCATGACACATCGGTGAATCATTGCCCAGAGCTCCGCGTGCGTGCCCTGCGGCGCTGGATGTCCGTCGATGATGCTTTGGAACCCATCGACCACCGCCTGGTTGTCCACGAAGACGTGCACGGGCCGTTCGGCACACGCCGTAAGGTGGACGATGGCAAGGGTCTCCGCAACCTGGGCGTTCTGCGTTAGGCCGTGAACGCGTGCACTGTAGTTCATGCGGTGGTCGATGCCGTAGTAGACGCCGTAGCCCGCTCGTGCTAGGAGTGGGATGGCTTGGTTGGTGCACGCACCGTCCGTGGCAGCATAGACCCATGTCCATCCCGTGTCGTTGTCAAGGTAGGTGGTGTAGGTGTCCTGGGCTGAAGCCGCAGGATCACCCTCAGGGGGAGAGTGTGAGGGAGAGAGATAGGGAGAGAGAGAGAGAGAGAGAGAGAGAGAGAGAGAGGGAGGGAGAGGAGTGTGAGAGAGAGAACGAGACAGAGAGAGAGAGAGAGAGAGCAGACAGAGAGAGATAGAGAGAGAGAGAGAGAGAGAGAGAGAGAGAGCGAGAGAGAGAGAGAGAGAAGAGACAGAGAGATCGAATATATATATATATATATATATAGAGAGGAGGAGAGAGAGAGGAGAGAGAGAGAGAGAGAGAGAGAGAGAGAGAGAGAGAGAGAGAGAGAGAGAGCAACCTCGAAACAGAGACATAGCGAGAGATACATAGACCGACAGGGGGGGAGAGAGAGAGAGAGAGAGATATAGAGAACGCGACAGGGAGACAGAGAGAGAGAGAGAGAGAGAGAGAAAGAGAGCTCGAGAGAGAGAGAGAGAGAGAGAGAGAGATGAGAGGGTGATGGTGAGGGTGAAGAAGAGGGCGAGGGCGAGGGTGAGGGTGAGGGTGAGGGTGCGGAGGAGGAGGGGGAGGAGGAGGAGGATGAGGAGGAGGAGGAGGAGGAGGAGGAGGGGGAGGAGGAGTAGGAGGAGGAG